CTCCAGGCGTGGAGGCAGAAAGTCCCTTTCCCACGGGGGCAGCACCTTCCCTGTATCCGTAGGCTTCGCGTAACGTACCCCAAGCGCATCATATGTTCCCCAGAATAGCGGGTGGGAGTTCTTGTAGTGCCCTCTCCTCGTCCTGTTCCCATATGCATTATGACGTTCCCCTATATATTTCACTCCCCGTACCCATATATTTAATAACGTCCAGCGAGTGCAACCTCCTCCATTTTTCTTGCGGCGAACTCTGTTCTGCAGAGCCCTGGTTGTTCATATTCCACTGCAGGATTAAATCGTTGGTAGTTTAAAAGTTTGTGCTGAGCTTGCCGTCTTTTGGAGTTGTGATGTAGTTGCTGTCTGCTGTACCTGAGACTTTTTCCACAGGTTTAAATGCATGCCTCTGTAGCAACAGTCATCTCCTGTATGCTGGGCAGGTTGCCTCAAATATAAGTGTCTGTCAAATCAGTGGGATCAAGACCTTGCTGATGAGTCTATAAGCTTTCACTGCAGGCCACTGATACCACAGTAAATTAAGAAGTTAAAATTTGGCGGTGAAAGGACTGTAATCCAGACCTATCGGAGACTAAATAATGAGCTTACAGGTTGTTCCACAGATGATAGAGCTCTCATATTCAGATCTTCTCTTCTTCCATTCATGTCACGTGCACTATCAGACAAAGTGATACATTTCATGTCACAGTGGTGGTGGTGTTACCTGGCTGATTTTATATCTCTGTGTGTGTGTGTTGTGTGGATATGCATATATACGATCTGTGTATTTGAGAGTCCTTTAAATGTTGCAGAAATAGTTACTTGATAATACTCTGGCAAGAATATTTAGCATAATAAAAATATTCCTTTACAGTGATACAAAAGATAGTGAAATTTAAGAAGATGATTGGAATATTGATATGTTTTAGATAGATTTTAAGATCAGCAGAGACCGTAATTCATTTGTGTTTGATTCAGAGGTCTTGAGGCTTGTGTGATACATAATGTTGAGTATCTTTGTGAACCTCAAAATGCCAGTGTGGACTACAGCGTAACTCCTTCAAAGCCTGAAATCATTGATATCTAATGCTAAAAATGTAATTTTAAGAAGTTTTCAACACCTGTTAACACTTGAACGTTATTCATTACTTGTCAAACAGTCACTTTTATACAGCCTTACTGTAGTCATGTGTGTCTGCCACTAGTTGGAAAAAATGTTATTACTTTAAATGTTCTCTGGAATTGGGAAAAAGATACGTATATATAAAAGTATGGTGTGCAGATGTGTGCAAACTAGTGGCAGATAAGCCCTGGATGTAGGTTATTATGTCATCTGGATTTTTTCTTTTGTCTTTTAGTTTTAAATTGAAGAGAAAATGTCACTTTACGATGACTTGGGAGTGGAGACCAGCGACTCTAAAACAGAAGGCTGGTCCAAAAATTTCAAACTACTGCAGTCTCAGTTGCAGGTGAAGAAAGCAGCTCTCACACAAGCAAAGGTATCGTCTCATTGTATTTTTGCTTTATATTATTCAAACTTCTTTTGTGTTCAGAGTATTGAGGAAAGTTTGTTACCTTAGAATACTGATTTGGGTTAATTTTGCTGGGAATTTTCTCTGAGTTTGCGGCGAGGAGCCTAGGAAAACTGGGGGGGGGAAAGGCGAGATGCGTGTTTCTTGAAGTCTGTTAGAGGGAGTCTGGCAAAATTAAAATGGAACGAAGAACTGATGTGTGTGCTGCAAACCTCAGCAGAGCCAAAAGCTGATCTTCAAATCTAACTTTAAAGATAATGAGATTAAGCTTTTTCTTTTCTTTTAAGTAAGGAAGGGTCATACCGTGATTGATAGTTGGCAGTACTGGCTGTTGGTCATTCCTGGCGTTTGGCATCAGTTGTTATTTACGTGGTTGCATCATTTTATGCTTGCTATTTAAAAGGCTTGTGGTGCTGAAGTGCGATTTTTGCAGCGAGTGTTTCCAGTGTAGATGGCAGGGAGAAGGAGTGCAAGCTGATGCCTTGAGCTTAACCTGTGGCAGAGCCATTTTCTCCTTTTATTGCTGCAGTATTTCGCTCTTTTTCTTTAAGCAGCTTTGGTATTTTGGTTCAGGCAGGACACGTGTGTTCTTTGTGGTGTGTAGGTTCTAGAGTGAGATTACTTGATTAAAAAAGTAGTAGTAGCGTAGATAAAGAATACCTAAGTAGGCACAGCGTTTTTTCACTGGAATTACTCTTGGTTTATGCTGCTAAAATTGAGAACAGGATTTAGGTGATAATTGGAGCAACCTGCATGAATGACATCTAAATGGCTACGATGTTAGATGCATTCTTTGTCTATGTAACTGATACGCAGTGTATGCAGAGACTGATAGAAGAGTGGAATAGGATTAGAAAATTCGGAGTTCAGAATAGATTAGTACCTCTTGTCAGATGACAAAATATGAGGAACAGTACATCTTCAGAAGAAGTTTGAGCCCCTTCTTAAAAAAAGCCCACTCGGTTCAAATTGATCTGAGGAGATCGTGTGAATTTTGAATGTGTATTTCTGGTCCTGGTCCAAACCGAGGACCTTTCACCTACCCCTGTGTGTCCTCGTGCGTGCACAAGCGAAGTCTGATCTCACTCACTCAAAAAGAGGAAGGTATGGACGGGTTTCACTGAAGGGTTCTCTGAAATATGGCATCAGGTCTGTATTTGCGTAGCAGCTCTTGAACCATAGCTGGCAAGCATCTGTCTCAGAACTGAGCGGCCTTGGCCACCGTTAAAACGTGACATGAACTTAGTTATCCACGTCGAGGTTCATTAGAAATGTTGGGAATTACTGCATGTTGATAAACTGAAGTGATATATTGAGCTTTGCACAGTGAAGAATTTGAGACAGTGGTTTTCATGCTTTTATTTAAAAAAAAGGAGACACCAGCTGCAAGTCTGTAAAGCAAACTGCTTTTTAGAAAACTGTTTTGGTACCTTTTTTTAGACATTTTGTGTTTTGGTGATTTTTCAGAGTCAGAGAACAAAACAAACAACAGTCCTTGCTCCAGTGATTGACCTGAAACGAGGCAGCTCTTCTGATGAGAGGCAGATTGTGGACACACCACCTCACGTAGCTGCTGGGTTAAAGGTGAGACCAAGGCAGCTGAAAAGTCCAGCTGTTAACAGATGTTTTGGAATTAGAATTCTTTGACTGCAGTCTGTATTTTTACTTTTTCATCAACTTCCCTAGTGGCCAGAGAAGCGATTGTTTTCTGAAATTGATTTCCTCTGCTCAGAGGTTCTTTAGTGAATGAACGTTTCGGCCTTATACAGACTTCCATGTGATACAACATGGAGTTACTAAGGTTAATGTGCAGTTAAAATATAACAGTATTCCTGGCATGTTTCCCCTGGACAGCTTCGGAGTGCTTTGCCAGGCAGCAATTTGGTCAGGTAAATAATGTAGTTGTAATTGCACCAGTGTTGGAACTGAACCTGTGTAACAATCAACAAGAAAAGCCACCTGCCTTTTAAAATGGATTTTGCACGGTGAGGAATCAACAGAAACTTTCTTCCTGGAACTTTTTCAAAGGTGATGGTTCTGAAATAGTTCTTTCAGGTGAGAGAACAGGGTGTGCACCTCTGTCAGTATTATATTAATAGCAGACGATGACAAAGACTGATGAGGTTGTGTGGGAGGACCCCTTGCAGATGTTTGCAACAGCAAGATGTCATAATACTTCTGATAGTTAATTAATGGGTTTTGAAAAAGTCTTGTCCGTGCTGATTTGCTGCTGCTTTGTATTTGGCAGGGGGAGTGGGTGGGGGTGATTCTTTCTTCATGGAAAAATTTGGGATAGCAAGAGACTGGGTGAAATGTTAGTTTTAAGTAAAGTGAAGATTTCTTTCAGATCTCAGCTGAAAAACTCCTTTTGTCTTTTGTAAGGATCCAGTACCTAGTGGTTTTTCTGCGGGAGATGTGTTGATTCCTTTGGCGGACGAGTATGATCCCATGTTCCCAAATGACTACGAAAAAGTGGTCAAACGTCAAAGAGAGGAACGGCAGAGGCAGCGTGAGCTGGAGAGGCAAAAGGAGATTGAAGAAAGAGAAAAGTAAGGCTTTTGTTTAAACTCACGACATATTGACAGATAGATAAAGAACAGAAAAATCGATTTGGTTAGTTTTACCCCTCTAAATGTTTCAGGGAAATTCTTTAAGGTTTTGTGAAGCACGCTGTGTGCTTGTAGAAACAAGCACAATGGTTTAATTAATATGTTTCGATGCTCTCACTAAAATCACTTAATAGTGCAAAAATGTATCGTGTTTACAGCCTCTTTGGCTGAAAGACGTGTGTCAAGTTTTTCCCCATTTACTTCACTTGAATAGTAACAGCAGTGTTTGGGTGCTTCATGCCTCATTATCAGACTTTGGCCTTGCAGGTATTTTGGAGCATTTGTTGTCAGTGATGACAGAAGTGCCTTTCAGCACTCAGGGATACACCATCCTTCCTGCTTTTAAATACTCCAGAGTGATACATGAATGTGTTTCAGCTTTAGAGATGTAGCTAGCACAGCCTTTGAGAGGCATAATTGCTTTCTCTTACTTTCTCTCTCTTACTTTCTCTCTCTTACTTTCTCTCTCTTACTTTCTCTCTCTTACTTTCTCTCTCTTACTTTCTCTCTCTTACTTTCTCTCTCTTACTTTCTTATTCTGCATTCAGTTTAAGTAATTGTGTGTTTATTACTCCTTTGTCTCTACGCAAAAGAAAATACTACTTATTTTTAATTACGTTAATGCCCTTTCTCTGGAATAAGAAATCTCTCTAATCATATTAAAGAAGTTGAATGCAGATTCCAAGTCCTATTGAAATAGGTGGTAAAACATCTGCCAGCCAGGCAGTAAGATTATATTTGCTTATTTTACTTGAAATTAATGAGCCAGTTTCATCATGTTATGAACCATCTAAAGTCTATGGAATTACAGGAGGTGTAGCCTGTTGCCCTGTTTTAAATTGTGGAAATGAATATTTCTAGTAATCTGAATTTCTCTGTCTTCTCTTGATTACATCTTCATTGCTCTGTTGGAGGAGGAATGCCTGAGGCTCTGTTGTAGTTCAGCTAGCATGCAAGATCTCTGAAATCTGGGCTGTCATTTCCACAGCTTCAGTGTTGATTGCTGTTTAGTCGTGCTTGTACATGAGCCAGGAGGGCAGTCTTTATGTGTAAAATTAGAGAGAGGCAGTGCAAAATACAGAACACGTTCTGATTTAAAACTGAGGAAACAATCTCAGCCCAACCTGCGACAGAGGTATGCTTTGTGATAACCCGAGTGTTCGAACAGAGCGTGCATTTGCTTTAAATTCCTAGTGTGGAGATTCAGAAGTTTTGCCTGGTTCTGTAGTAGTGCTGATTTTAGCATCCTGTAGCACAGTTTTGATGGCTGTGCTGGGAATGAGATCTGATTTGTGCCCCAAGCTGGGCTCTTAACTTTTTGGGAAAAATACTTTTCCATTTTCTGAAGTGTTAAAATGAGTAATTTCATGATCACAATAAGTAACAGTCGAAGGGCGAACAATTCTTGAAGCATTTCTCACCTCATTTTAAAAGTCTGAATACACTTGCCTGAATCTTACTTTAATTGCCAACTAGCATCTTGGTAATCTGATGTTTAAGCGTGATGATTTTTTGGGTTTTTTTAATTGAGTGAGTAAATCACAATACTCTGCGTAGCCTGTGGTGAGGAATTTAAAAGGGATTCTGTTCAAAATGCGCGTCTGTGTTACCTTGCTGTCGGTGCCATCCAACACCCCTTCCATTGTAGCCATTCAGTCACTGCACTCGATTTGGACTAGGTTTATTCAGATGCTTCCTCATTTCCGTACGTTCTTCTTGTCTGATTGGCAAGTGCAAAATTATCTTGCTTTGGATCCATCTTATATTTCACAAAAAAATACCCCATGAAGGTAAAGGCAGAGAAACAGAAAGGTGTCTGCTTACACCTTCATGGAAGTCATTCTGAAATGCCAATTGGAGCATAGCGGTGCAATTCACACTGCCAGGGTGGTAGCACAAATTAAAGCAAAGAGTTAACGTTGATGGTGTCTTATCCTAACATCCTGTGTCTCCTAGAAGACGTAAAGACAGACATGAAGCCAGTGGGTTTTCAAGAAGACCAGATCCAGATTCTGATGAAGATGAAGATTATGAAAGGGAGAGACGAAAAAGAAGTAAGGGAGCTGTTTGTTTTTGATGGGAAAAGAGGAGGAAAAAGGTGGGGGGGAATTCACAATCCTGTTCCTGCTTCGTGGATTCTGTGTTTCTCTGTTCTCAGCTGAGAAGTATACTGCTATTTCTGAGCCTTTGGAATAAACCTAGCATTTTATTACGGCATAACTGTTGTACTACAGAAAACTGTTCTTTCTGTGGAGGCAGATGGCAGCTAAATTATTTCTGGAAAGACCTCATTAGTTTCTAGGTACCTGTTTTAAGTTTCTGCCTGGTGTAGGTTCCAGGAAGGGGGTGAGGCATGAGATAAAATCAGGCTATGAGAATCACTACTGAGTTTTCACTATTAAAGCTTACCATTTCTGCATTTGTTGGTTGAATGCAGTTAAAACTACTTAGAAAATGTGGATCTGGGTGGTGAGAGATTACTTTGCATAAAGAAAATTAAACTTTTATTCTATTTCAGTAGCAAAGTTACAGTAAATAATTGGGGTCTGTTATTTTAAAAAAGAAAATTTCTGACAGGGCATTTAAATTCTTTGCTCTGCCTTGGAAGTTTGGGACTACATTAGAATATTGCTCGTTAAAATACAGAAGGGGTTTTGTACTTTACTATTTTGCAAGCGTAGTTAATCTTGAACAGCGTATCTTTTTCATTTGGTTTGACTGAGCAGTGTTAGAACTGAAGGTTTGTTTCACTGCAGTCAGTTGTCAAATCCTAGGAGACGCATTTATGGAAGACCCCGAAGGTCGTACATCACTGCGGTTTGGTGCTGTCTCCCTTGATGTGCCTTTCGTTATTTCTGCTGAATCTGTTCCCACTATTGCACCTTCTCAGGCTGCTCTCTCGCACCTTTTCTGTTGTGTGTTTAGGAGGTGGCTGGGAAGGGGCCAGCAGCTGTGTTAGGGTTCAGCTGCAGCTATTCCGAGCAGCAGAACCTAATCATGCGTCTTCCATTTTGCTCGTAGGTATGGGAGGAGCTGCCATTGCGCCACCCACTTCTCTGGTGGAGAAGGACAAAGAACGTAAGTACACCGAAGTCCTCCAAAAATCTAGCAGTGAGTTTGTTTCTCACTCAACCTTCTGTTTAGTTAAGTCATCCTGCTGCTCTTCCCGTGGGATTCTTTGTGGCAGAACTTGCACTAGTTCTTTGTTGGTGGGGGGAAGCTGTGATACTGCTGTGCTTCCCATCTCTGGTCTAAAGGATTCCTTCTTTTATTGCTCGAGAAGTGGTTTGGCAAGTTGGTCTGTTACAACTGATGTGGAAGGAGAAATGTTGCGGAGAGGTTTTTCTGGGTACTCTAGAAACCTCCCCAGCATGGAGAGGGAATCTTTCCCTTTGCTTTAGGAGGTACTTCATGAATATCTTTCCTGAAGGGGTTATGCACCACAGACAGAGTTCTGTAAGGTTTTGAGAAATACAGTATTTCCTAGAGAGATGTGTGCACTAAGGTTTCCCTCCATGAAGATGGCTTGGAGATTGCAGTTGTCCACCAGATGGCACGGTCTTGCTGTGAGAACAAAACTGATCAGGTTTTTTGCGTGTCTAATTGTCTTACGCTTTAAAACTAAAATAATGACCAACAAGTTGTGTATGTCATTGAAAAGTAATAAGAAAAAAGAATCCTAGACACACAAACTTTCCTTTGGTAGTCCTGTTTTTATTTATGAGAAGATACAGATTTAAAAAATGAAGCTTGGCGGAGCGAGCGAATGATATAATAGTGAAAGTATTTGAAGTGTGTAAACATTAAAAACAGAAAGAGATTGTTTTAAGTAAATAATTAAGAGCAATGGAGCGGTGTCAAGGAAAAGTAAATACAGGCTGGAAAAGGTAGAAATACCCTGAGAGGGAGAGCTTTCAAAATGTGACATGATCTCACAAGGAAACCTTTGTACGGCTTGTTACTTGATGCTCAAAGCTGGTCTGGAAAAACCTGAGAAAATACTGCTGTAGCAGAAGTCCCATAGTCCAGTCCATCTGCTGCTTCAATAGGGATTATTTTTTTCCTCATACAGCTTCCCCAGACTTCACTTCTGACATTTTATTTGGGAAGACACAGGTACTAGTTCACAAGAAAATGATCTGAAATAAAGTCAGTCTAAAAGGCCCTAAGTCCATTCCAAAGTGTGTTCTGTGTATTTCCTTTCATTCCAAAGTGTGTTCTGTGTATTTCCTTTAGTGATCTGTAGGCTTTCTCTTACATTTTGCCATTTGACTTGTCAGTGGAAAGTAGTTTAATAATCTGGTCAGTATGACTGAGATATCTGTAGATAGATACAGAGACTGACATGCATCTCCATCTCCCAGGAGAAGTTGCCGTTCAGAAACTGCCAGTGAGATCTCTTAAGATTGTATACTTTGCTCTGGGTTGCATTAATTCTGTTTGGTAGACTGATTTCTCTTTTCTGTAAACATACAGTGCGCTTTTCTTCACAGCCCTCCAGCCCCAAGCTGTGTGTGTTGATGCATTTTTGTCAAAATTCTGTTCCTGATGAATGGGGCTTTTAAGTTTGCTTGCTCTCTGTCTGGATAAAGTCATTGTAGTGCAGGTGGCCTCTTAATGTTTCTTTTCTCTGTTTAATAAGTAAGAGGTTAATAAATGCATTATAGACTTGTGGATACAAACTCGCTCTATATCCAATAGGAAAATCCAGAATAACTCGAAGTCAAATCTTTTTTCTGAGAGAGAGAGAGAGAGAGAGGGGTGAGGGGATGTTAAAGCTGCATGTGCTAAGGAAACAGTCTTCTGATCTGGATTTATGTGGAAGACTGGGGTTTTTTTCATAGTTTGTTAGTGTTAAAGCAGAAAAATATACAACTCACAGGTGAAGAGCTGTCTGTAAATGAGTTTGATTGAAAGCATAGTTCTCCAGTGTTCATAGCAAGTAGGCAGTTCATACAAAGTATTTTAGTAAAGAAGCAAATGTCTCTTTTCTTCAGCTGTAGCATCATTTCCATTCGAAGAGGAGTCAAGACCTCGGGCACCATCCTCCAAAGCAGCTATTCCTCCTCCAGTGTATGACGAGCCAGAGAGACCTCGCTCCCCGACGGGACCCAGCAACTCTTTCCTTGCTAACATGGGGTAAATGATTGACTTACACACATTTTGTGGAAAAAGGCATTAGAAGGTGGTGGAAACCAGAAGTTAAAATAGTTTGTCGGTAGAGAAGAGCCCAACCCATTGCATGTGTGTGTGGTTAGTCTGAGTGCATGTCGCCCTAACTGGCAGGGTGCAGGAAAAGCAGTGGATTTACTCGATCGAGAGAAGTGCATTTGAGGTGGTTGCATTCAGGGCTGCACTTCTAAGTGAGTTCTGAAGCCACACTCCAGTATAAAGTGTTTATGGCTTGTACAAGCCAAGCTAATGTAGCATACAGGAAAACACAGATGGCGTGTTAGTTCCTCTACGTTTCTTTTCGAGCTTTGTCTTAGATTTGCTACATACCAGTGGGCAAATAATTCCAGCTCCGCTTTGTTTGTTTGTTCAAAAATTCAAAGCGTGTTTGCCTGAACGTGGCAGCTGTGGCTGCAAATGTGTCCGTTTATTTTTCTGCCTTGGATTAGCCGTATGTGTAGTGCTTGTGTTACTACTGTGGCCACAAAGTGAAGTCGAATTCGTAGCTAAAAACAGGTTAGAGACCTCATTTGAAAGGTGTCGTGGTTAGCTATGGTCCTCCTATTAACTGCACCGGGCGTTGCAGAAATGCAGCCTCAGTGTAGTCAAAACTGTATCCAGGACAAACACAGATGTAAAAGTGTTCTGTATTACATTATTACACTGCATTTCCATTTTGGAGACGATTTTTAATGCAGTTTTCTTTTTATAGAGATGCTTTTTTTTTTTTTCCACACGTTGTCCAGAAAAAGGACAACCAAAGTCAGTGCTATTGGACCAGTTCATGCGTTGTTACCGCCTCCAGTTACGGATACCCTGGGACCTTCACTTCGTTGAAGGAAGTGATAAAAATATGACCTAACCTGCCTTACTTTGACTACACAATTGGCTACTGTTTATTCTATGACTTAGTGTTTTAACCTTTCAGCATTACATAGTCAGACTTTTTGGCTTTTTTTAATGTGTCTTTGTGTGTTTCATATAGTATGGTTAGAAAATAATCCTGGAGTCACTGCTTCTGCATTTTTCTGTGTAATCTTATGTGCCCTTTGGTAAAGTAGGGCTAACTGAGCATAGAATATTTACTGTGGTTTAAGCTAGTATACCAGGGCGTGGTTTTTGTGTCTTGACCTATCTAGCTATGGTCTTTAAAGAAATTTCAACACGTGGAGGTGTATTTGGATTCTAAATACTCATTTAGTGGGAATTTCAAAATCTGTCAGTGGAGGTGCTTTTTGTAAGGTACTTATAAAAAACAAAAGTACCTTTAAATAGCTTGGACTTTATTGCCTCAATACAATCTTGAAAATTCAGAAAGATGAGATGCTTAAATTAATAAAGAGATTTGTTACAGGAAGGGCTAGCAAAGCCATGTACTCTGGAGCTTACGCCAAATTGGAAGTAAGAGATAGTGGAATCTGATCTAATGTGAGAAATAGATTGTTCCACATCTGCCTTTTCTCTCAAGCTTTTGCTACCAACCACTGACAAAGATAAGAAACTGGACTAAATAGACCTTCGTCTAATCCGATTTGCGATTTACTGTCAGCAGCCTGATCTAGTGAAAGATGGCCCTGCCCATGGCAGAGGGGTTGGACTAGCTGGTCTTTAAAAGTCTCTTCCGACCCAAGCCGTTGTATAGAGCGTACGATGCTCACTTGCACTGGGTTGTATTTGTAAAAGTGTGAGCAGTTTTGTTTAGTCAACTTCTCTGACAACTCTTCTACCTGTAAATCAAGGGTAGCGCTTTTCATCTTCACAGGGTGCTGTGAAATTGCCAGGTTGTAAAGTCGAGTAGAAGCTCTTACGTTTTCAGTCTGTGTAATGAGATTTTAGGAGCTGGAGTATTTGAGTATTCAGGAGAAATGCGATGTTAAGGTTTTGTGTAACAAACTCTTACTAACTGATGTTCTTTGTCTTTGCAGGGGGACAGTAGCTCATAAAATCATGCAGAAGTATGGTTTCAGAGAGGGCCAGGGGCTGGGAAAGCATGAACAGGGGCTGAGCACAGCACTGTCCGTAGAGAAAACAAGCAAGAGGGGTGGCAAGATCATTGTTGGCGATTCTACAGAGAAAGGTAATTGTGTCCTACACCAATAAGTTTGTGAAACGTGGTCAGGGAGAAATTGTAGTTCAGGCTCAGTGGAAGCTCCCGGATTTTTTTGTTCACCACCTGTCCTTGCAGAAAGTAGAGTTGCAAGAATGAATCCTGTTCCTTCTTGTGGAAATTTATCTTTTATTTATCTTTTTTAAAAGTGTTCCTCTCTTAATAACTGTAGCTCGTCCTCCCCTTCCCCCGTCAGTTGTCCTCCTTTAGAGTTTGGAAGCCTCTTCTCTTCAAGGGGCGATCCTGCTCTGCTCCTAGGATCCTTTAAGGTTGGAAAAGACCTTGAAGATCATCAAGTCCAACAGTCAACCCAACACCACCATGCCCACTAAACCGTGTCCCGAAGTGCCACATCTAGATGTTTTTTGAACACCTCCAGGGATGGTGACTCCACCATCTCCCTGGGCAGCCTGTTCCAATGTTTGACCACTCTTTCAGTAAAGACATTTTGGTGACTTTCTCCCTGTCACGTGCTTTAGATATTGCTCTCCTTTCCCCACTGTTGTCTGATCAAAGACAACATCTAGGCTTGCTAGAACCAGCACCTCTGACTGAGCCCAAGTGTTGGAAGTCAGGAGACCGGATTTTTTTGTTCTTAAGGGATCTGGTACAATTCTGAACTTGTGAATTATTTCCCTCAAAGAAATAGTACGTTGTCAGTGTTCTAGCTTAATTTGCATTCTGTAGCTGTGATTTTTCTGCTTATTGTCCTTCCAAATAGCTGCGAGTTCTGAATTCTTCACGAATATGAAACTCCATTTTGTGGCTTTTATTCCATTGTTTGATACCAGTAAGACTGTGATAAAACCCCCTGCATAAGGTTTAAATGAGCTTTAATGTTAAATTATTCCATGATTCACTGTTCTGTCTTCATAGCAGAAACGGGCAAGAAAGCGGATTCTAACCCCTTGACTGAGATACTGAAATGCCCAACTAAAGTGGTCTTACTAAGGGTAAGTTGGGGGTAAGAAAACATGTTTTGGTGTTTGCAGCGTGTGTGCCTGGTTGAAATACTTAAACCTGTGTTCCTGTTACCATGACTCTGGACAGTTCAAACGTTTCTGGCCTCCACCCATGTGGTGCTTTGTGTTGTGGAGAAAATATGTGTCTTCCCGAGATGCAAGTTGTGCCTGTAAATCACACTGCTTTAGATTATACAGTTACCTTGTCGTGGTACTGGGGAACTGTCTCCCTCGGTGGCTCTTGGCTGGTAAACAGAAGCTTAAAGTGTTCATGGTCGCAGTTGCGCGCATCCGTGATTCATCTGCGTAATCCTCTGTGCAGACTCCATCCAGTGAGTTGGCTTTATTCCTTTTAACTTTCAGAACATGGTAGGTGCTGGGGAGGTGGATGAAGATCTAGAAGTTGAAACCAAGGAGGAATGTGAGAAATATGGCAAGGTTGGGAAATGTGTCATCTTTGAGGTAAGAGATGATCTGTCTCTCTTTTCTGCTCTGAAAGCAAACTGGGCACTTCGTCCCTCGTGACTGGCGTGTTACTGCCTCAGTGAAGGGGCGTAGGTTGGAAGATCTCACAGGGTCCTTTGCCGAGTTGTGATTCTGGATTTTCCATAGCTGTAGGATACAAACTTTTAATGACACAAACTGGGCCAAAATCTCTGGGTAGGGTGCTTTTGAAACCTTTTTGTGGTGTTGTCTTCTCTACTATTGTGAAGAATAACAGTTTAAAACAGTATTTTTGCTACTGTTCTAATTATTTCTGTTTTGGGGCGGTTGTTGTTTATTTTTGTTTCAGATTCCTGGTGCCCCTGATGATGAAGCTGTGAGAATATTTTTAGAGTTTGAACGGGTTGAATCTGCCATCAAAGGTAGGATACGAAATTGTGTCCTGTGAACCTCAGAGTTAACTTCCATAGAGAGCTTAAACGGTCTCACTGATCAGACTGTTGAGCTAAAGAAATGTTTATTTTATTGACTTGCTGCTTGCTGACCTGTCCTTGGTTTCATTGCAGCTGTGGTGGATCTAAATGGAAGATACTTTGGAGGCAGAGTCGTGAAGGCTTGTTTCTACAACCTGGACAAGTTCAGAGTACTGGATCTGGCAGAGCAAGTTTGATTTTTAAAAATCTAGCTGAAGGTGTCACTGTTTTGGCAATCATATTTTCAGCGGTAGGCTGGGAATAAAGAAGAGAAAAGTAGCTTTCCTAGCAAACTGGAAACAAGCCTCATTGAATGGATTTTTCACATTCGTTGTGACTTAAATTTTTTGTAATATAAAGCCCTTTGAAAGTAAGATTCACGTCTGTGTGGTTTTGAATTGCACAATTCTGCTTCTTGCTCTGGGGATCCTGTTCTTGAGCTTTCAGATGACTTCGTCCTTTTGAAAACCCACTGCTGAAGAGATGCTTTGTCTGTATTCCTGCTTTCCTTGTTCTGGTGCTTCGTCATGGAGTCCCTGTGCTGCATCCACACTAAGTGGGAAGCTTTGGAAGAGGACTGTGTGCTATCACACTTCTGTTCCCTGATGGTATCTCGCAGAGTTACAGCCTTGTTCTCCTAAGTCCTCCGCCTCTGCACGCCAGAGTGATTTGGGGTCGTTGGACAGTTGACAGCTAGCTTGTTCTCTCCTGACTCCAGGACAATACTTTCTATGGCGGAATGGAGACTAAAGTAACAAAGAATGAGCCTGTCTTTTTTTTTTTTTTCCAAATCCAAAGAAAACACGTATGTTTCACCCAGGGAAATGGAAGGAGGAAGGTATTTAAAATGCTTAGCCATTTGAATCAGAAAGAGCGGACTGTTAGCAGGAGCTCTGTGCTGTCAGGCAGTCTGCTGGGAATACCCAGGGTTAACTGATCACAGGTCGCTGCTGAATTGCTAGAGGTAGAACGGAGGGAAACAGCCTTGTATCTGGCCAGCTGTCAGATTCTCACTTCTGCTAACATCCCACATAGGTAACTAACTTTTTGTTTAATTGATTCAAACCTGGCATTTGCGCTCTCTCTCTCTCTCTGTGTATTCCTATATTTGAGGTCAACATCAGGGTTAGGCTTTTTTTTTTTTTTTTTTTGAGGAGTACCAGTGGAAGTTTTCAAAGCAGGAGGCGATGGAAGAAAATTCTCGTATGAAAATCTGAAGAGTTGACAAACTAAACTACTAAACACTACAACTCCTTTTTTTTTTTTTTTAGTCTGATGTAACACAATACATAGCACTCTGCTCCTGATTTTATGTTTGGTTTTTGTTTGGGGAACGGTACGTGACCAGGAGTTGGCGAGAGGTGGCTCTGCAGCGGTGGCAGTTGTGCTCCATCGCACCTAGCGCTGTGCAGGTGTTAAAACAGAAGCGGCTCTGAGGGCGTTTTAGCTGTTCGAAAGCTGATGCCGAATGTCTTTTTTTTCCTGTTGTACACACGAATTGGGGGGAGGGGGGTATAGACCCGTAGTTGATCAGCGCTGTGAATATCTCCAGTTATTGCCCTTTTATTAAGTGTTGGCTGCAGCTCTGTATGACCAACCCTTGGTCTTGCGTTTCGCTTATTTTGTCTGCTTGTGCTCCACCAACCTCTGTACAAACATTTGCTTGTAAAACAGAAAACAATTTTTAAAAAAACTTGTATTTTACCTCCCGTGTGTTGGCTTCCTTACTGTCCTCTGCTGTTGCACAAGGCCTCCCACGGAGTCAGGCGCTTCTACGCCACGTGTGCTGCTGCTGGCAGTAGTTGTCATCCACCATTAGAAAACCTCATTGCAGCAGAGGTGAAGAACCGGCCTGACTAATACTAAAACCACAGGACTTGGGGCAATAACAGAATCTAAATTCTGTTATTGGCTCTGCTGTTAGTTTTCTGTTTGACCTTGAGCAACACTTTAAGGCCTTTGATTCTATGTAGTAAAACAAAGCATTTGGCTTAATACGAATTAACAGCTGTGCTTATAAGAGTCAAATAATTTGAGTGGTGTGCTGTAGAAAGTTAAGCACTGATAACAGATGTAGTATGGTCTGAACTTCGTTTGAAATACGACTTGGCTTTAAGCAACATGATTTATTTATGGCTCTTATTTCAGCAGATACCTGTTCTGAGTGACTAGCTGTCAGCATTTCATGAGGTATACAGACTATTTTTTGTGTCTTCTAACCAGCTGTTCTGCTGTTTTCTCTGTAATACCAGCATCTGAGCTTCCAGTTTGGTGAGTTGGAGGTCTTCCATTTGCTGAGAGTTGTTTTACTGGCAAGTTTTGAACAATTTAGTTCTAAAAATCCTTCTTGTGGTTGGAGACTTACAGATAACGGTTACCCCTGGAAACGTCGGGGATAGGACTTGGTCATTTAGTGTTTTCTGTAGGAGGTTTGTGCTATAAATGAAGTGTTTTTCTGCACTGTGAGGTGACGAAGACACATGTTAGCAGACCTGCATTGCTTTGCTTTCACCTCTTTGTGGGTACTCGCTTTGGTGGGCGCTGTGCAAATACACGACGCTGGCGCCTGGTTTGTAAGCAGTTGCCCTTCAGGTGCTGCCACCGTAGATGCCAACACACAGGCAGGTGTGGAAACCTGAAAAGGATCAGAAGTGCTGACTGAGGTCCTTAGACCTCGCTTGGCACAGAGTTAGTAGGAAGTATTTTTTGGCAAATGCACGTTCTTCCACTCGGCCTGTGTTGATGTGTTGGCTCGGACTTTCGCAGGTATGGCTGGGTCTTGCACGCCTTTAAAAATCTGGTTCTGATTTTACTTCTCTGCTTCCCGCCTCCTCTGGAATCTTGTTACTGACTTATTTCTATTTCTAGTAGTTTCTCAAATTACTTTTCATTTAACACCTCCAGCTCTTCCTCCTTACACATCCATTTTTTTCACCTGTGATTCATCAGTGCCCTCTCAAAAGGCTCAGCAGCACTTAAATCTGGAGTTCTTTGTTGCAGCTACAAAGTTCTACTTGTTTGTCTTTGCATACCCAAAATTGCACCCACCTTTTTCTGTAAGGTACGTACTTGTCACTGTGGTCTGAAGCGATAATATTTTTGTTTCTTTTTTTGTGTGGTGCCTTAAAAGGCTATGATTTTACAGAGAATTAAGATGATTGTGGCCTGTTAAGATACATTGGCTTTATTGGCAATGCAGTATTGGGTTATACCACTTCAGATGAAGCATTTGGTATTTTTCAGGCCTGATTTCCTACAGTTAAGCTTTAATTCCATGTTTTAAGTACCCATGTAAATACTCCGATTCTCTAATGTGCTGAATAACTGAATCTCCTCTCGGGCTAAGTATGAACTGTTCATTACTTCTGGGAATCTAGATTAGATGCCTACTTAAGAGAGATTTGGCAGTGTCCTGGAGCTAACAGCAAGCTGACAGGGACGTGTAGGACGTGTCAGCCCGGAGCTGAACAAGGTGTCTCTAGACCATTATCAACCCTGAAGTCTTAAGAACAAAGATTTGCATAATGGCATAACCATTTGCTGCCTCGTTCTCCTCGTTCGTAACACTGGCTGCTGGTTTAACAGCAGGGAGATACTGATGTGATGCTTTTGTAGTTGCTGTGACCCCAACCCTTCATTCCTGAGTGGCAACAGCTATTTCAGAGCCCATCGTTACGTACGTGGGTTATGATTTCATTTTCTTATGGGCAGTGTTCTGCGCTTAACCTATGTTGAATTTCGGCTGTCAGTTGCCTACTGGGTGTCAGACTAAAGAAATCTGATGAGATGGAACTTGCAGGGCAGATTTTTAACATGACTATTGGCAAAATCTAAGCTTGCTTTGCTAATACTCTACGAAAGCTGAGAGTTGTTGCCCCAAAGAACTTGCTGTCTGAATAGCCATAAAAAGAGGGAGGGAGGCAGATGCAAAAAATGTCTTGCCCAAGGTCATGCAGAGAAGGTCGTTTGGAGAGTTGGGATTACACCCTATTGCCCTACACTTGCAACTATGCAACCAAAACCCACATTCCTTGTGCAGCTGCTTTTAACAACAGAAAATGCTAAGTGCTCTTAGCCTTGAACTTTGGGTTCTGAAGGGAATTCAGCTGAGGAGGAGGAGATGTAATTTGTGCGCTGCAGTCTGGGTAAGCACTTGCCTTTTGAGGTGCTTATCTGAAATCAAGCTGCTGTGGTAGGGTTGTCTGAGTGTGTTGGGGATTTTACCCTTCTGTGGAGGTGAAAATATGCATCGTAACCCCACAGCGTTTTCATAAAGGTAGAAGGAAAAATACAGAAGGGTTCAAAGAGGTTCTTAAACCTCTTAAATCTTTCTTGCTCCGCAAGCGAAAGTCTGATGAGGGAGTGCTTTCTGTCCTTACAGCACTTGGTGCAAGAGGCCCTGAGCAAGACTAGGATTTATCCCGTGTTAAATTAAATTAAATCCCACGGTCGTGTCTGGGGTTGGTCCTGCCCAGCTGCAGGACTTGGCACTTCTCGTTGAGCTTCGTGATGTTCCTGCCAGCCTATTTCTCCAGCCTGTCGAGGTCCCTCTGGGGGGCAGCACGACACTCTGGAGTGTCAGCCACTCCTCCCAGGTTAGTGTCATCTGCAAACTTGCTGAGGGTACGCTCTGCCCCCTCATCCGGATCATTAATGAAGATGTTAAACAGGACTGGACCCAGTATAGACCCCTGGAGTCCACCACTAGTTGCTGGCCTCCAACTAGACTTCGTGCCACTGATCACCACCCTCTGGGACCGGCCGTTCAGCCAGCTTTCGGTCTACCTTGAGTGTCTGTTCATCCAGCCCATACTTCAACAGCTTCTTTAGGAGGATCTTATGGGAGACAATGTTTAAAAGCCTTATGGAAGTCAGCGGAGATAATACGTGCTGCTGTCCCGTTGTCTACCAGGCTGGTCATTTCATCATGGAAGTTGGTCAAGCACGACTTGCCTTTGGTGAATCCATGCTGACTGCTACTGATGGTTTTCTTGTCCTTCATGAAAACAGTTTCCAGGGTTAGCTGCTCCAGAATCTTAGAAATAAATTAAAATTTCCTAAAAATTGGAAAAGAGCAAGAGCATCCATACAGCTGAGGGCTGCTTACAGATGCACCTGGCATCACTAACGTGTTCCTGACTGGGCACAAGACCCTGTTCCTTTTCCCAATAAACAAGGGCTGCTTGTGATTGTGGAGAACTTTCCATGTTGCTTACAAGCCCTTTCTGTACCAGCAACTGCAGTACTATGTGGTAACAGTTGTCTCCTTTGGAGAATTCATGCCTTTAAGTGATGAGACACTTGTCCTTAAAAAAGGCATAGGGATTGGTTCCATCAGCAGTCCGTTTGCTGTCAGCTGAGCAACGGGAGTGTCCAGCCTGTCTGCAACTGGAGGGTTTATTTGCTGCTTTGAAAACTCCTGTGTTTTTTCAGGTGCCATTTGGATTCCCAAACCTTACGTTTGCGTTTCTGTACGGAAGGAGACCCTTCAAGAGAGACAGGCACCGTGGTGGGTT